TTTATTAATAAGCAGTACCACTTCTGTCATATATTAAGTCCAAATATGCCTTGGTCTGTTTTCTGAATATTATGTTCTATTTAATCAAAATTAAGTAGTCTTGGGAACCAGCAGTTAGTGTAATGGCTATGTCACTGGACTCCCACGTAATCGACCTCGGTTCACGTCCCGGACCCAGTGGCTTAAAACTCACGCCGGGTGCATGTGCGTGTGTGCCCAAGATTCCAAGAGGAGAATGGAGGAGAAGGGATTGCAACATGACCATCCCCCCTGGGGGATGATTTCTCACTTTCTGTCTCTATGTCTCTCTCTGTCTGTCTGGCGAGCGCACGCGCCCTGTAACAAAAACTTCTCCAAAAAAAAAAAAATTAAGTGGTCCAAATCTATGTACATAGTATTTCTCACCACTTATTTAGGAATTTGAAAAATATTTCTTAATAATTTTTCTTTTATAAGTCAGACATATCTTTTCTATTTTTACATAATTAGTTCTTTGTAATTGATTTTAAAAAATTTTTTATTGACATATATATAATATACAAACAGAAAAGTGAACACAAGACAAGTATATAGCTTGCTGAATATTCAGAAACTGAACAAACCCATGTAACCAACATAAATGCAATCTTTGAAAATCTTGTTTTCAAATTTTTTTGATATATGGAAATAAAATTATTTTTTAATATTGATTTTTTTATACAGCAATCTGATTCACTCTCAGTAGTATATCTTTATTTACCTCGATAAAACCATTATATAAATTTTTTTTTTAACCACAGGGCATGTGCGCTTGCCAGAGAAGGGGAAAGTGAGAAATCACCCCCCAAAAAAGATGGCCACACCACAATCCTTTCTCCTCCATTCTCTTCTCAGGATTTTGGCCACACACACACACACATGTGCCAAGTGTGATTTTTCAAGATGTTGAGTTTGTGATTTGAACCATGTTGGGCCATGTACCAGTCTAGCCCCTTAACCATCAAGCCACCTGCTAGCCCCATGTAAATTTTCTTTTTAGTTTTTTGAATTTTCTTTGCTATATGGTGTGTGTGCTCACCAGAGAGACAAAGAAAGTGAAAAATCACTCCCGAAGGGGGATGACCATGCTTCAGTCCCTTCCATGCCTCCATTCTCCTCTCAAGATCTTAGGCACACATGCACATATGCCTTGCATGAGTTTCAAGCTGACAGGTCCAGAACTCAAACTGAGGTTGACATGTAGGAGTCCAGCTCCCCAACCACTATGCCACCTACTGACCCCTAACTGGTTCTTTCAATGCCCATCTTACCTGACTTTTTTTGGCACTGACACTTGAACATACCTTTCTTGAAATTCTTCTCTTGCCTTGTAAATGCTCTCTTAAGTTTTTCCTAATTCAAACTGTTTCTTTTTAGTCTCTAGCTTTTTCTTCTTGCTGTTCCTTTAGGTTAATTATTGCATTCAGCATAATCTCCAAATTGGGAATGAGTACCCACAACCTCCTGTTAGTTCTTCCATGGCACTATTGTGGAGATGCACCCTCTTCCTTTCTGTTCCTGCTACCTATGCAAAGTCCATGCCTTCACCCTTTACATCTTGACCTCTTTGGCTCCTAGAAGGTATTCTATTCTAAATGACATAGCTGGGTTAATCTCCTTAAAATACACTTTTACACATGGCAACTCCCCTGAATAGAAACTTTTTTTTTTTTTTTTTGGAGAGGTTTTTGCTATAGGGCGAGTGTGCTCACCACAAAGACAGAGAGAAACAGAGAGATAGAAAGTGAGAAATCACCCCCAGGGGGGATGGCCATGGCACAATCCCTCCACCTCCATTCTCTCAGGATCTTGGGCGCACATGCACACGCGCCCGGCGTGAGTTTAAGCCACCGGATCTGGGACTTGAACCACGGTCGACTACATGGGAGTTCAGAGACATAGCCATTACGCTAACTGCTGGTCCCCCCAAATAGAAACTTTGAAGTGACATATCACTGCTTGTAGACTGAAGTCTAAAAAATATAGCTAGGGCTGACCCTATAGCTTGGTGGTTAAGGGAGCCAGATCCCACATGCATTTCAAGTCCTGGACCTGGTTACTTGAGAAACATACAGGATACATGTGCTGGCATGCCCAAAATCCTGACAGGATGGAGAAATAAAGAAGGGATTGAGACGTGGCCACACTCTATTGCAGGCTGCTTTCTCTACCTCTTTTTAAAAAAATAATAATAAAAATAAAAACCACAGCCAGGCTAGGGGCCAGTAGGTGGTGTGGTGGTTAGGGAGTCCCATGTGGCTGACCATGGTTTGAGTCCCAGACCCAGCAGCTTGCTTGCTTGCTCGCGCGCTCTCTCTCGCTCTCTCTTTCTCTCTCTTTGTCTCTCTGCCTCTGGTGAGTGTATATGCCCTATAGCAAATTTAAATAATAATAAATAAAATAAACAATTCTGGGACCAGCAGTTAGCATAATGGCTATGTTGCTGAACTCCCATGTAGCCGACCACGGTTCAAGTCCCAGACCTGGTGGCTTAAACTCACACCAGGCACGTGTGCGTGTGTGCCCAAGATCCCGAAAGGAGAATGGAGGAGAAGGGGTTGTGGTGTGGCCATCCCCCCTGGGGATTGATTTATCACTTTCTATCTCTCTGTCTCTCTCTGTCTTTCTGGTGAGCGTATGCGCTCTATAGCAAAACAAACGAACAAAAAACCTCTCCAAATAAATAAACAAACAAACAAACAGTTCTTTCACAAATGTAGCCAGGCCTTTGCAGACCCTTTCTACCCTGGTCCCAGTCTACCTTCTTGGCTATCTTTCTCAGCTTTTCTACTCACACTCACCACTCCAGCTCCACAGCCTCTCCAACCTGTCCAGCTAATCTAGTCTCCATGTACTTTCTTCATAGCCATCTCCTCTTCTCACCCAGAATGTAGTGTGGACCTCAACTTCATATCCACACCCCTGCAATCAAAATATTTACCAAACTGCTATCTTTCAAGGTCCAACTTATTAATAAATCTTGGGGTTTTTGACATTTCCTTTTTGAAACATTTTGTCTTCTAGCGTACTTTTTCTCCTCTGAAATTCTGTAGTACCAGGGAACTACATTTTAGTTTTCTGGCCCCTCTGTATTTCCAGTTTAATCTCTTACCACTTCCCCACAAATTACATGGTTCCAGCTCACTAGTCTACTCATCATTTTTCCCCCTCCTCACTGCCTTATGGAAACCAGGTTCCATAAAGCACCCCTGCTTCTCCTGTGTTTTTGACCTCTTCCTTCTATTGGCTTTCCACCTTTAGCATAGGAGCATGTTAATGTTTCTCATTTTTCAAACAAAATAAAAGCTTTCATCCTCCTTTTACTGCTGCCCTCTTCCCTTTTCCTTTCTACTTTTTGCCACTCCTCCATCATTCCATTGAAAGTATCTCTGCTGAGGTCAACCAATGACTTAAACATCTGAATTCCTTAGGCTCTTTTCAGTCCTCCTCGTATTACTCCTCCTCCCACAGTGTCTGACACCCTATTCCTTCTCTGGACACTCTCATTTCTCCCTTGACCCTGACACTGCCCTCTCCTGATTTTCCTCTTAACTTTTCTAAAGATTTTTGGGCTTTTCTTATTCACTCATGCCTACCTGATTTCTTTTCTGGGACTACTTTATTTCTCTTCCTATTGTCTCTGTCCCCTCCACAAGTGGTCTCACCCACTTAGATGCTTAAAACTCCTACCTATATGCTACCAATTCCAAACTTAGCTCTCCAACCTGTATCTTATATCTCATATTTCAGCCTGCAAATGTAGCTGCCTGTGAGAAATCTCGTGTCTACCACCCAGGTACCTCTCATTCCACATGTCTGAAACTGAACCTTTCATCCCTCCCTGTCTCGGTTAAACCAGCCTCTCTCTTGCCTGCATTGAATAATGCCAAAATCCAGTCAGTCACTCAAACCGGAAACCAGGGCATCATTCTCTACTCTTTCCTCACACTAGCTTCTTCCTCCAGTCTCATCAGGCACCAAGTCTTGCCGGCCCTACTTTACAGTGTTTAAAAAGCAAACTTCAGAATTACATGAATTGAAAAAGAATCTTAACTCTTTTAAAAACAATAAGCGGAAAAGTATGCCAGCATAGATAATAGAAAGAACATAGGATTTGACAGAAATCCTGAGATGGAATCTCAGGCTCACCTACCAACTGTTTGACCTTAGATAAGCCATTTAAACTCTGAACTAGTTTCTTTAGCTGTAAAATGAGAATTCTAGTAAAAATAATAATAGTAAGGTGGTAAAAATAAAAAAGCTATTCATCTAAGTTCACGGCATTAATTTAAGGATTGTGATAAAGGATATAAAAAGTAAATAACTATACGAAAGGTTGCCATCACGGTGACTTTTATCTGTCCATCTACTTTATTTCCATGGGAAAGGGCAAGAAATGCCAGTGACTCTGTTGTGCATGTTCAACATTGGGACCTTTGTCCTTTGAACTTTACCTTAACCACCCTCAGAGAAGTGAACAGAATTAAGAAATTTTCTTATGATTGCTGGCTTGGGGCCAGCAGAGTAGTTATATCACTATATTCCCACATGGCTGACCACAGTTTGAGTCCTGAGCCTGGTGGCTTGAAACTCACTCCAGGAGCATATGCATACGTCCCCAAGATATATTCCCACAATGCTTACCACAGTTTGAGTCCTGAGCCTGGTGGCTTGAAACTCACTCCAGGAGCATATGCATACGTCCCCAAGAACCCAGGAGAAGGGATTGTGGAATGGCCATACCCCAAGGGAGTGATTTCTCATTTTACCTCTCACTGTCTCTGTCTTTCTCTCTGTTAACTGCACGCACCCTGTAGTTAAAACCTCTAAAACGAAACAAACAAACTAACAAACAAAACAGACAAAAGATTGCTGACTTAATATTTCTTTGGGGTCTTTATTTCTTCTCTCTTCCTCTAAAGAAACATAGGTATATGTTAGATGCTTTATCAAGCAATTTAAATTTTGTTTCCTGTTATTAGGTATTAATATTAACCGAGGCCTCCTATGCTTGGGAAATGTAATCAGTGCTCTTGGAGATGACAAAAAGGGTGGCTTTGTCCCCTACAGAGATTCCAAGTTGACTCGACTGCTTCAAGGTAAGTCCAAAGGGCCTCTAAAAATAAGAGAGTAACTCAGAATGTTACTGAGAAAACGAAGATGAAACAAGTTAAAAGCCATCTATTTGGGCTGTCACATACACAACGCTCTAATTGATAAATAGGAGAGCTGTTGGCAGGTAAGCTTCTAAGATCATGGGAAGATGTCTTCATGTATGACTGAGAACCAAGAAATCTGTAGAGTGACAACTGTACATAATACTTTACATTTGAAAATGAAATTGGTTACTGTTTCTTTAACTATTAGTGCTTCTAAGCATAATCCTCTCGAGTGAATATCTACCTAGAGGGGGCATGATAAGAATGTTTAATCCCAATAATGGCTCCTAATTTACCTATACCAGGCCCCAGTTTTCTTACCTACTTAATTGCTGAAATCACAGTCTCTCTTGAGATTGAGGACACATACAATAGGATTCTAATTTGTCATTTTACATATCAGAAATCTTACAGTTTTTATGTTGACACAAATAGGAAATTTATAGATATCTAGAAGTTTTTTTAGATCTCTGAATTTGAAGTCACCAACCTAAATGGACAGCTTTGCTTGTGGCCTGCATGCTTGATTTTTTTCCTGCCATTGTTCTTTTTCAGATTCTCTAGGAGGTAATAGTCATACTCTTATGATAGCCTGTGTGAGTCCTGCTGACTCCAATCTAGAGGAAACACTAAATACCCTTCGCTATGCTGACAGAGCAAGAAAAATCAAGAACAAACCTGTTATTAATATTGATCCCCAGACAGCTGAACTGAATCATCTAAAGCAACAGGTATAGGGGACTTTAAATTTGATGTGGAAATTTGCAAGTAATTGAGTGAAATGATAGAGCTTCTGTTTCTCAGTTTCTCCTGTGTTAGAAATTTAGAAACATTAGTTAAGCATTATGTTAGTTTGGGGGCCTCTTAAAATAACTCCTGTTAATATGTTTGCTGTCCACTTAAGATTGAGGGTAGTGGGCCAGCAGCTGTTGTGGAGGTTAAGGAGGCTG